GCTCCACACTGCGCACTACAAGCCAAGAGATATGTTGCATAACACACTCGAGGCCATGGTTAGTTTATAAATTAACCCGAAGCGCCAGCTCATTGGCAATCACTCATCACGAACTCGAACCACAAGGGCACATATCAACCTTGTGTTCGCAGTAACAGCTGTTCCTTCTACAAACACCTTAGTTGCTGCATTGCATGATTTTTCTTGTGCTTGCCAATCTGGATTTTAAGTTATGCTAAGCACATGCATGGATGCTTTGCCACCAATAGCAGATACATCACACACTCATTGATGCCGGTTGCTCTAACAATATAAAACAATATCAACTTTTCTTGGAGATAGATGGGTATGTTGGTGAAGAAAACATGCTCCACCAGTCCATTATTGACAACTAGTGTAGCATGACTGAGATTCTTTGTGCCATGGGCTTGGCATTGACATTGCTTCTGCCTCTTTCCAATAAATAGGATGCTCAACGGTGGTTCATCACCAGCAGAGTATTGTTCTCCTCTTTTTTATCTTCCATCTCAGCTAGAACCATATCATCATACATTCTACTATCGACATGGCTGTTAGAAAGAGGATTAGAGGGCTAATGGGCTGGCCGCATGGGCCTAGGCGCCCAGAGGTTTTTATGGTAGTTGATTCACTACTGGAGACGCGCTCTTTGCCGAGTGCCTAGGGCACTCGGCAAAGGCCCTATTGCACTCGACAAAGGCTTTGCCGAGTGCCACACTTGGCAAAGAGCAAACGGCAAAGCCGCATCCGGCGAAGGGTTCTTTGCCGAGTGCCAGCACGACACTCGGCAAAGAAAATTGGCCGTCAGCCATTGACGGTGTCTTTGCCGAGTGCCGGGTCAGGAAGGCACTCGGCAAAGCTTTTCCCTTTTTTTTGAAAAATCCTTTGCCGAGTGCCTTCCTGACCCGGCACTCGGCAAAGAAAAAAATATTTTTTTTAAAAAAAATCCTTTGCCGAGTGCCTTCCTGACCCGGCACTCGGCAAAGAAAAAAAATATTTTTTTTTGAAAAATCCTTTGCCGAGTGCCTAGCTGAGACGGCACTCGGCAAAGAAAAAAATATTTTTTTGGAAACTTCTTTGCCGAGTGCCAGGACACATGGTAGTGTCCACAGCTTTGCCGAGTGCCAGGGTACCGGCACTCGGCAAAGGGACCTCAGAAGCGCATTTTTGGCAGCTTTGCCGAGTGCCGGCAAAAAGGCGCTTCGGCAAGGCTCTTTTTTGCCGAGTGTTACACTCGGCAAAGTGACCAAAATTTTTGTTTTTTTGTTTTTGCTTTCGATCACTGCAAACACAACATATGGCATATATATCACATCCATCACATATATACCACATCCAAACCTTATATGTCACAATCCATCACACATACCACATGAATCACATCCGTTCACCACATGTCACAGTAATTCCATCCATTATTCGACAGGATTCCACATCATTCAACAAGTTCTAATCCATCACCACATGTCACAATAACACATGCATGACAACAACATTGTCTCGGACAGAAATCCATTGTGAAGAGAACAAGACATGAAACTACAAGCGCTACTCACTGAAGCGGCCCTTGATGTGGCCATCCTGCTGACGACGGGGAAGGAAACATCTGCTGGTTCGGAGTGCCCTGAGCTAGGTTGTTCGAACCCACCGACTGAGGCTGCACACAGGAGAAGAGATTGCATGAGACAAGATTAGTTGAATAGCGATTGTAGCAATTCCTTGCATGTGTGACATTACTCACTTTGGAGTAAGCGGAGTGAGGAGGCCGAGGTGGACCCATTAACCTGTGAGGCATAGCAAAGCACCCGTCGTAGTTTGCATCCAGGCAATAATGTCCGCCAACCTTTTCTCTTGGGCAAGAAACACAACACTATAAGTTGAAAATTTCGGCAGAACCTCCCCTGTACAGGGAGGTTTCCAAAACCTGCAAAAAATAACGGCACGAAGGCCGACATTCACAAGGGCACGAAGGCCGACATTCATGACATTCACAACGGCACGCACGAAGGCCGACATTCACAAGGGCACGAAGGCTGACATTCATGACATTCACAACAGCACGAAGGCCGACATTCACGCAACACGAAGGCCGACATTCACAAAGGGACGGTGCATATACCTTGGGGGCGGCGGGACGGGACGTGCCTGCTGAGAAGAAGACGCCGAGAACTCCTCCTCCTTCCTCCTCCTTCTCCTTCTCTTCCCTTCCTCCTTCTTCCTCCTTCCTCCTCTCCTTCTTCCCTTCTTCTCTTCTTTTCCTCTTCTTCTCCTTCTCTTCCCTTCCTCCTTCTCCTCTTCTCCTTCCTCCTACTTCACCTCTGCCTCCTCCCTCCAAGAACCGACGGCGAGGGGGGGGGTGGCTGGCCTGGCCCCCACAGGGAGGGAGGTGGTGGCCCCTCCCTCTCCTTCTCCGTGGCATTGGGCATGGCGTTCAACAGCATGGCAGCGCGCTGGTGGGGTGGGGGGGGGAGGAGGGTGGCACACGGTGGGGGGCAGGCCAAGCGCGGGTCGGTGGCCAGCCGCGTGTGCCCAAGCAATGCAATGGGCGGGGGCTGGATGCGGAGCGGCGGCGGCGGTCTTGGGGCGGGGGGACGACCTTGGAGGATGGGGGCGCTGGGGTGGGGTCGCCCGTGGGGTGGGGCTCATGGGGGGGCGGCCGGGCGGGCGGCAGAGGCCACAGAGATTTTGCGGGCGCAGCTGCAGGTGGCCGATGGGGCTTCGGGTGGGCCGGCGGAAGGAATACCCTTTCCTTTGCCGAGTGCCCGTGAACCGCACTTTCGGCAAAGGATTTTAATATTTTTTTCAAATATCTTTGTCGAAAGTGCCGTAGATATGGCGCTCGGCAAAGAGTTTTTTTTTTTTTTTAAAAAAAAACAACCATATAAAAAGAAAAAACTTACCTCTTTGTCGAGTGCCGCAGATCCGCACTCGGCAAAGCTCAGATTAAAAAACCGAAATCGTCTGCGTTTTTTTAAAAAACTTTCACCTTTGAGTGTGCCCCCTTTAGGCACTTTCGCAAAGTCTCTTCTGCCGAGTGCCAGAGTTGGGCACTCGGCAAAGCATAATTTTTTTTTGTTTTTTGCCTCCAAACTTTTTCTTCAGCCCTTATACATTAAGTTGAAGTACATCCTCAAATTTGGCACATTTCTCGATCTTTTTGCTATATATCCATAATTTATTTCATTTAATTGCATTTTTCCGGGAAATGTAAGTTTGAACTGCAGGTGCATCGAATCATGGAATTCGACGAGTGGAAAAATGATATTCGTGTTACTTATTGTATTTTGAGGCCGTTTCCAGGAGCACGCCCAAAGTTTCAAACATCTCACGCACGAAACATGGCGACAAAATTGCGGGTGAAGTGTTTTTTAATTATATAAAATGCAAACGAAGTTCGAAAATCATAAAACTTGGTGACGGGAGCTTTGCCGAGTGCCGGTCTTCGCCGAGTGCCTGACACTCGGCAAAGAGCTCTTTGCCGAGTGCCCGACATTTAGCACTCGGCAAAGCCGGCGATACTCGGCAAAGCCAGGCTCTGCCGTAGTGATTGATTATTAGGCAAGTATCTCCTTGATTGGGTATTTGATTCTATAAACCCTAGGACATCCTTTCCTATATATTGTACACCCTTGTACCTCTCATTAATCAATCTACCTATTCCCGAGTCATATCTTCCTTCAATGGCTATTACGCATCAGAGGTCTACAAGTTTGCCTTCAAACCTTTCTCCACCGAGGCCAAAGTAGAAGAAGAGCTGCAGAGCTTCAAGGCGTGCATCTCTTCACCTTGCGCAACCATTGACATGAATAAATGATTATCCAGGAGCTGCAACTATCCCTCAAGAGAGGAAACGATTGGTCTTTTCAGCTCAAAGTTGTGTCCTTTATGCATCTGGTGAAGAAGGCACAAACTGACAAAAGTCTTTCAAGAAGACCCGTAACAACACAACTTTTGAAGGCTGCAGATGATCAGGCTACTTTAAGAAGCCAGAAAGATGGATGTCTCTCTACTTGAATCCATATCTGGTCTATTGCCGAAGCACATTGCCACCACAAATGCAAGCAAATGGTCTCGTGTCCCCAAGATGTCCCCAAGAGATTCCAGAAAAGAAAGGTTGCCTTCAAGGAGGAATAGTTGCAAGCACAAGGGTGCAGCATGGGAGATGTTGAGAATGGTGCTGAGTTGTTCAGGAGATTTATCCAAGGCAGCGTTTCTCTCCTAAACATTCTTAGTGCATAGATAATTCTCAAGGCTTGCTCCGTGTTTTGTGATTGGCATCCGCCTTTTAAAGGATCCATCAATCTTTGAACACCTTTCTAGTTTGTACACAAAATAACATATACATAGGTCGAATCAAAAGGCCACCCAATTCTAGAATCAAAAGGCCATCCACTCATAACTCAACTCTAGAATCAAAAGGCCATCAAAACTCCAAAGCGAAAAAATGCAGTCACAGTCTCCATCTTGTGGCATGCCTCAATCTTATGTAAGCTGCCAACTGGGATTTTTATCAGCTGATTGTTGTGCTAATGTGGTTTACATTAGGGGCATTATGGATACAAGGGACAACAAAAAGGGAACAAATTCTCCTAAAAGGGTATTTAGGGTGCTCCTGCTAGCGGGTGAGGCGTTGCAAGAGCTGACCGCCAAGGAGGAGGGAGGGAGCCGCAAATCAACAGCCAGATGCGAGTGATATGCTGCATCGTGCTGCTTGACGTGCAGCAACAATGCAGGCTCATCGAAGGCCATGCCCACCAAGAGAGTCGAAGACATCAAATTTCACATGTGTACCGAAAAAGGTAAGCGGTACATCAAATTATTATTTATTTGACACAATCTCAAAGTTTTCCGAAGCACTGGGTAAATGTTTATGCTAAAGCGAAAGAACAACTATATATAAAGTTCCATTAACTATACTGGTTATGAACAGTCACGCAATTAGGAGGCCTGCTGGCGAGCGATACTCAAATCAATAAACACATCTAGCGTGGTAGGGTGGCAGATTCCATGAACTCTTTCTCCAAACTAGAACATCGTTGGTTGTGTTTCAGTGGTAAATTGGTTCCCTCACCTGGTTCTATGGCAAGCGCTTGGCAAGTAGCTTCAGCTCTTCGAGCTAGCAACATTATTTTATTTTGCTGCTCATTTTGGCAAGAGCTCACCCGTTTCTTTCGTAAAATCTGCAATTCCGTCTCCACTTGCTTCATTGTAGGCCTTTCTTCACCACGTAATCTTAAGCACATCTCTGCAAGAGAGGCAACGCTGCTGATCTCCTCTTTGGTTGCTTCCTCGGCAACTTGTGAGTCAACTATATCAGTGATTTCTTTCTCTTTCAATGCCTCAAGAAAGTAGTATGACAAGCTTTGAACCCCGCCTGAGTTATTTTTGGAAACTGGTTTCTTTCTAACAAGCAGCTCCAGTAGCACCACTCCAAAACTATACACATCACTCTTCTCATTTAGCTGCCTCAGAACGAAGTACTCAGGATCTAAGTAACCAAGTGTACCTTGTACATTGGTATTAATGTGTGTTTGATCAACTGGAACCAATCTTGAAGCGCCGAAGTCTGAAACTTTAGCAATGTAGTTCTCATCCAAGAGTATATTTGCGGATTTCACATCACGATGGAAGACTGATATTGAAGCGCCTGAGTGGAGATATGATAGAGCACCTGCAGCTTCTGTGGCGATTCTTATGTAATCATCCCAAACCAAAGAAACATCATTTCGTGATTCAGCATGGAGAACTTGAGACAATGACCCATTGGAAATATAGTCATATACCAGCAACGGAACCTCATATTCTAGGCAACATCCAAAGAGTTTCACAATGTTTCTGTGATTTATTTCAGAAAGTATTGCAACTTCGTTGATGAATTCCCTGATCTCACTGTACTCAATGACTAGAGACTTCTTTATTGCAACAACATGTTGGTCAGATAAAATGCCCTTATAAACCATCCCGTGGCCACCCTGTCCAATGATGCGTGTGGGATCAAAGTTATTTGTTGCCTTTTCTAGCTCTTCTAGGGAGAAAATATTTGTTTTGTCTGGTGATATCTGTTCTAGGAGGAGACCTTGATTCTTGAGGAAGTAATTCTTCCGCAGTTGGTTTTGAACATTCTTTTTCCATCTTCGAAAAGAAACAGTGCAACAAAGCTCAGGAGTAGAATGCTGAATCCTCCCGAAAGTCCGATAATAATACCTATATAGACATGATCTCCTTATATACACGATTTTTTCAGGAGTCAAATATTACCTATACCTTATTTGAAACATAAATGTTAATAACAGCAACATTGGCTTACCTATGAAGAGAAGTTGCTGCTTTCTTCTAGTACACTGATTTTTTGTGGGATCATACTCAGTCTTGCGAGGGCATTCAGTACACGTGAAGCCTCCCTCTATATTACTGCAGACTCTTCCCTTACAAATGCCTTGCTGAAGGCACTCATCAACATCTGCAAACCAGATCTTCCTGACATGTGACAACAATTTTGAAGAAAAGAGAATGAAGATATGACGGGTAGTAAAGTACCTTGACAACCATTTTGAATGTACGGGTTTCCTTTGAAGCCATATGGGCATTTGCAGCGGTATCCAATGTAGCCGCTAAACGCGTTCACTTCCACACAGCTGCTGTTGATACTCACACAAGCATACCCAGATATATTCTGCTTAGCTTCGGTGCAACTTAGATTTGCAGCAACCCATTGCAGAGAGGCGGATACATCATGAATGATAAAAAGATCGTCTCCTCCAGGAGTAATATCAGAGGCGTAAAGTGCATCCATTTGGTGGTCAAGATTGGTGAATTTAATTGTCCCTTCGTTAACATCCAAATCGATCACCCGAGACCGTGAGTCCTCTTCCTTGTTGAGGACGCCTGAGGATGTTGCATTTGTGCAGGAGAGGCGAAACTCTTTCCTAGCGAAGCAACCCTCTTCTAAGCCGAATGGGAATTGCACACTGATGTTTCCACACTGACGGGTACAATCAGCTCTTGTTTGATTTGGATTGTACTCTAGTTTCAGTAACAAAAAATGTCTTAGCATGCATTTAGGTTAAAAATGACAGTGTACATATAACCTATTAATTTTTTATGCAACGTTTATTCATAGAGAATAAGGGGGATTTGCACAATGATGTTTTTACACTGACAAGTAAAGCATCCAAGCCAATTTGTATCTTTCATAATGGCATATGTGAGTAATTTATAAATAATATTAAGAGGGTATTTTAAATTATTTTCTATAATAATAGATGTGGGTAATTTATATACAAAATTAGGTAGTTATTTTGAATTATCTTTTCATAATAAAAGATGTAGCTAATTTAGATGCAGATTTTAGGAGTTATTTTGAATTTCTTTCATAGTGATAGATGTGAGTAATTTATATACAAATTTAGGGGTCAATTTAAATTATCTTTCACATTGGCAGAGGTGGCTAATTTACTACTTTATGTATTTTCTCATAATTGTAAAGGTGTTTTTTTTAATATATAAAACGGAATAGATCCAATGACAATTATAAGCGTCGGTGATTAGAGTCTACTCAATGAAAGGTAAGATATTTCTAATCATTGTGAGATTTTTTTAGAAGAATTAACATAAAGGCTCTATTAAGGCCTCTAATTAGTAATACTCCCTTCATCCCCAGATAATAAGGTATCCAAGCAAATTTAGGACATATTATATGGTGGAACAAATGATGCATGTAATCTTCTTTGATTACTATATTTGGATTGGTGATAGATATTAATGGTAGGTACACATGTGAATGTTGTCTCTTGGAGGATTTATACATCTAAAATCCCTTATAATTTAGGACAAATTTGAATGCATTGATACCTTATATTACAGGACGGAGGGAGTAGTAAGGTAGTACGTATGCTGATGATTAACTTAAAGTCTTCTTAGAGGCTCTAATCAGGGCTTGTTTAGATTGGGGTTAGGAATCAGTATTTGGCACTGTAGCAATTTCGTTTGTATTTGATAATTATTGTCCAATCATGGCCTAACTAGGCTCAAAAGATTCGTCTCGTAATTTACAATCAAACTGTGTAATTAGTTATTTTTTTATCTATATTTAATACTCCATGCATGTGTCTAAAGATTTGATGTGATGGAGAGAAAGTGAAAAAACTTGCAATCTAAACAAGCCTTAGTAGTGATAGTAAGATTTAAGGTGTAGGTACGAAGAATATTATTACCTTTATCGTTGGTGCAACCATCCCGAATGTAGGGGTTGCCTGTATAGCCTCTGTCGCATAGGCACAGGTAGCCTTCGCTTGATGTCATGCCTGGGTCGTAGCAATTGGAATTGTTGCTGATACAGGCGTAGTTCTTATGGCTTTTCTTGGCGGCAATACAGTTGGGTTCATCGACGATTCTCCACTCGAGCAAGGCGTCGTCACTGGATACGGTGATTCTATCCCGCAATAGAGAGGTCCGTTTGAATCTCGAGGTGCCGATGCTGCCGCTTTGGTTGTGGCCGTGGACGACGATACTAAGCTGGAAATCTTTCTGGACGCTCTGCCCATAATCCTCCCTGGGACTCACTTCAATAGTGCAACATCCGATGCCTGTGCAGTTGTGCCTAGCCGCCATCTCCGTGATTTCTTCCTCGCCGTGGCACCGAGTGGAGCAAGCCCAAGTGGTTATCGCAGGTACCTGGTTGACCCAGTACACATCCAGGTCGCAGCCAGTGATGTTTAGATGAGTGTAGGCACGCGAGAAGGACCTCCCAGGGGGCTCCAGTGATAGGTTGTACACACGGACACCGGATTTCATGGGCACGACACGCCAGATGGAGGTCTTCTCGATTGAATTGTCATTGTCATGATCGAACTCATACCCGTCGGAGCAAACGTCGATGCTGTGGATAACCTCGGTGATGCCATCTGCCAAGAAAAGCTTGGGGGGCCGAGTGGCGTCGTCGCAGGTCAGCCTGAAATCGGGTCCTCTGGAGCACTCCGGTCCGATGCCGAATGGGTAGTCGAAGCTCAAATTGCCGCAGCTCGCCGGGCAAGCTTCCACTTTCTTGTTCCCTCCTCCAGGCTTGATGCTTCTTGTTGCAGGTCCGGATGCTAGCACGGGCGTCGACGAACTTGGAGACCAATGAAGAAGAATCACCAGAGAGAACGCCACCGCACCCGCCATTCTGGTTTGATAGGCGCGTGACCTCTGGAAAAGTGTTCTCTATTCAGAGGCGCATGAACTCTGGACGTCTCGGCCGCAGTTACTCGACCTCAGCTTTCCTCATGCACCCATGCAAAACATTTATTTCTCTTTCTTTCCCAACGCCAGGGAGTCTCACATGTGCATGGACGGCGAGTAGTTACAACATGGGCAGCCAATGGATGAATGGATGGAGAACACAGTTTTTTTTGGCAGGGAGTAATAGATAGGGATTGAAGGGAGTTAAGACTCCTTGATCTTGGTGAAAACTTCTAAAGCGCCTCTCAAACCAGAATGGTTGGAGTACTACTGGTCCTTCTTTATTTATAAATATATATAGGTACCGACCACGCTACCACGCGGTTCCATCCGATCCGTTGTATACGTAGATAATGCGGTTCCATCCCAGCTGTCCGTCAAAGATGGCGTCCGGCGTTGGTAAGTCTTCGCCTGAGCTTACTGAAGTCCATCTTCCGGCGTTGGTAAGTCTTCGCCTGAGCTTACTGAAATCTTTGGCAACAGAACTTATCGGAAGCTTCGGGCCTTCGGGTTAGCGCGCTTTTCCGGGGCTAGCGATCGACTACGGTTTGGGCGTCGCGTGCACAACACGTACGACTTGGCCAAACGGAGACTCGCCTCTGTCGCCAGTGGGAAATGGAGAGAGAGGTTCCAAAGTCAAGTCGTCGAATCCGCTGAACCAAAAAGCTCCCTATCCCCTCCATGCTCTGTGCGGTCCGGTCCCTGATTTCAGTCAAAACCGTGTGCATGGCTATGCACTGCAATTAATACCAGCCACTGCCTCGTTCATTGGCCAGGCTCGTAGCTTTGACCTGTGCTCGTACCTGCAGGCTGGAGCAGACACTGACAGCATTCAAGTTTACATGGGGTTTTGGAAGCTGTAAAAACGTTGTAACAGCACGTATAATATCATGCTATAAGCAAACTGAATACTGAGGTGGAGGAGAGAGAAGATGAGAGAAATGAGAAACAAGATGTAAGCTTACAGTCAGGTTAGACACAAGAAACATGATGCTTATAAACCAGGACAGATATCACATGTATAGATGTTCTGGGTTGTAAGCATCGTACGTGACAACATGCACGAAATCTTTTGAAATTTTTATCATAGCCTCCACATACGATAGCACGACATCTCAACAAGTTTTATGATTTTTGGACTTTGTTTGCTTTTTATAGAATTTAAAAACACTTTACAAGCAAGTTCGCGGTCATGTTTCGTGAACAAGATGTCCAAAATTTCGGGTCCGTTCCTGGATATGGCCTCACACTACACTCACTAACATGACTATTAATTTTTGAATCATTAAATTCTATTATTCGTACCACGTGCAGTTCAAATTTATATTTTTTTAAAAAATTCAAGTAAACAAAATAAAGTAACTAAATATATCAAAAAGCCACAAAAAATCCCCAAATTCTAAGTAGGAGTTTCTGGTCCTTTAAAAGGGCTGAACAAAAAATTTGGAGGCCAAAATAAAAAAAACTTTGCCGAGCGCTGGGGCATGGCACTCGGCAAAGAGGATTTTTTATTTTTTTTAGAAGTTTCCTCTTTGCCGAGTGCCTCCACAGGGGCACTCGGCAAAGATATTTTTTAAAAAAAATTAAATCTTTGCCGAGTGCCGTGTCAGGGGCACTGCCGAGTGCCAGATCTAGGACACTCGGCAAAGAAATTTCAAAAAAAAAATTAAATCTATGCTGAGAGCCGAATCTAGGACACTCGGCAAAGAAATTAAAAAAAAAATAAATCTTTGCCGAGTGGCTCCCTGATCCGGCACTCGGCAAAGGGGCGGTTGGGGGACTTAAACAATTTTGGCGGGCAGGGCAAGCAAACAACCACCACCAATTGCGCTTGCCCACCCCGCCACGCGCCACGCCCACGCTTAGCCCTCCCCCCGCCCCCGCTCATCCCACGCCGTCCGCCCCGCTGCTCTTGCCAAGGCCACATCGTCAGCCCGCCCCTCCCGCGCCCGCGCCGCCTCCGCACACCGCCGACCCCGCGACGCCGCCATCTACCGCCATGCCGCCCACCCCCCCCAGCGCACAGCGCCATGCACGCGCCGCCCGCCCGCCAAGCGCCAGCGCCATGCTGCTGCCATGCCGGCTGCCCCAATCCCGCTCGCGCCACCAACCAAGGCATACGCTGCCAGGCCCGCCCGCCCGAGCCATGCGCCGCCTCCCTCCCGTGCACCGCGCCGCCGCCGCCCAGGCTGCTTACCATCACGACGCCTGCCGTGCGGTACCCCCCCCAGCACTCACGTGTGTGGCGGCGTGAAGCCAGCTTCCACGCCGGGCTCTCGCCAATGCCGTGGAGCTGCCCCCCCCGGCCACGCCCGTGGACCGCCTACCTGACGCCGCCTGCCGTGCCTACCCCTGTTTCAACTCCGGCGACCTGCACTGATGTCAGGCCCCCTACCCCAAATACCGTCGGTATGCCCTATCTCTTGTTGTTGTCGTGGTAGTGATAGTTGTTGTAGTATTAGTTGTAGTAGTAGTGCTAGTGGTAGTAGTAGTAGTAGAACTAGTGGTAGTAGTAGTAGTACAACTAGTTGTAGTAGTAGTAGAAGTAGTGGTAGTAGTAGTAGTAGAACTAGTGGTAGTAGTAGTAGCAATAGTGGTAGTAGTAGTAGTAGCAATAGTGGAAGTAGTAGTAGAAGTAGTGGTACTACTTGGATATATTCTTCTGCATGGATTGATATCCAAACTACATGGCTTCTCTTGAGACATATGTGCTTGTCGGCCATCGTGCCGCTGTGTTTTGCAGGTTTTGGAAACCTCACCGTACAGGGGAGGTTCTGCCGATTTTTTTAAATGACAGTATTTTGTTCCATTTTTGTAGAGAAGAGCCCGTCGGAGCGGAGTCCGATTTCCCGTCGCCGTGTCGGTCTACCTGCACCGCGTCACCTCGCCACTACACCGACCCACCACGACCCCGCTAGCCTGACTCTGCCGCCACCCTAGGTATAACCCCTCTTTCCGTATCATGGTCGTAGATCGCGTAAGCCAGTTAGGCGTCTCCCGTTCGAAAGAGATACGGTTGGAGGTATGCAGATCTTTGCATATCTATGACCGTATCAGTTTCGGATTGTCCACGTTTTTTGGACAGCCCACGGATGCGTAGATGGGTTAGTTTCCATGGTCTACTCCAGTCTGAGACAGAGTTTCGGCATCACCTCCCTGTTGTTCTTCGGATATGCAATCTTCTTTGGCAGGACGTGTATCTAGAGACCAGCAGGGAGGTGCTGCCAAAATTCTGTCTCGGATAGGAGTAGAGTGATGAGGACATCGCCACGCTGGACACACCGACGCCATGGTCTTCCCCAAGTTGCAATTCGTTCCCAACTCAGCTGCCACGTCGCCCTCGGATTCAGCAGACACGTCGTCACTGTTTCGGTCATAACTTTCTCATACGACATCGAAACGGGCCGTTCTTGGATGCGTTGGAAAGGGGACGACGACGCCGTCGTTTTGGATCTGGTCCCAGCTCCAGAAGGTCCGTGGATCATTCTGTGTGACCACGGCAAGGTGCTGCGTCACCTATTTGGGCCAACTTGGCCATGTATCGTGTCGGGCCTTAAGCCCAAGTTGTGGGCGCCCAACCCCTGGCCGTCCCCAACCCTAGGTCGAGTCTTAGACTATAAACACAGCCGCCGCCGCTGCTACACAATTGGGTTTTGTTTAGAGTTTAGTTTTCCATCGAGAAACTGAATCGTTCATTGTAACTGTGGGGACAAATCCTTTTACAGTGATCCAGGGCCCCCGTTCTTGATCTCCTCCACTGTGTCGATTAGTCCTTTGGAACCGAGTTCTAGAACCCTCTATTGATAATCGCGTCATTCATATTTGCAATATCAGATTGCGTGTTTTACCTTCTTGCTTGTGCTCTTCGATTCGCTTGCAGGAAAAGCCTTCTTGGCGAGGTCAATCAAGTTGTGCTTGGTTGATAACCAACGGAGCAGTGGTGTAACGGTTGCAGAGTTCGAATCGCGTCTAATTTGAAGCCAGATCGCCAACGTCGAGATCTCCACAAATCGAACTTATCGGCTACCTCTCGGAAGATCGGGCCTGTACCCATCAATTGGTATCAGATATTTCAGGTTTACCGCGAGGTATAATCTCGTTTGCCTTAGATTCGTATTTGTTCATTACCTAGAGTCTACAAAAAACCCAAAAATCTTTCAATTTCCGCTGTCCTATCGCCCTTTGTGCCTTTGCAATTTCGTTTCAGATTCGTGTTGTTGAGTTTGTGTCCGTGGTCGAGTCTTGTTGCTGGTTTAGGATTGTGTTCGTGGTCGTAGTTCAATTGCCCGTTGCTGTGATTTTTGTTTTCCGCCGCTATCCCATCCACCGTTCCCAAACATCAAGTCGAAGCCACCACATTACTCGACTTGCCCCGCTAGCCGCCTTGTGTCACTTCTCGCAGCCGCGCAAACCCTAGACAGGTTGCCAGCCGCTCTTATTTTGCCTGCATCGCAGCCCTCCTTACATCATCAGGCGAATACCTACTGCTGTTAGTCACAGTGACGATCCTGTGATCGGTGTTAGAGTTTCGGGACGCTTTGCCCTAACTGCCGCCGCCGTGCTGTGCCTCCCGGAAAACATACCTTGAGATACCTTCGGTAAAACAGGCATAACTTTTCGCTCGTTTATCCAAAAAATCTGAAATTTTTTCAGCAGCTTCTTGACACCATTTGGGTCCGACCCAAACTGGGCTTTGCCCTGTTTGGTTTCATCAAAATTGCCAAAAAAAATCGGGAAAATATAGAAAAAAAATTGTCAAAGTTTTTGCACGCTTTTCAGAGAACGTGCTGAATTTCTGTAGACCACATCCCACCTCAGTTGTAGGTGCCAATTTTTGTGGTTGCATCTTTTGTGATCCTTGTTCAGAGAAAAGTATATAAAAAATAGTAAAAAAATAAAAAAGTTTGTTTCCTACTAGTGCCTTTTGGAAAAATCCGGGAAAA